TTGCCTCAAGCCTTCAAACCCCTAGTGCATAATTTCCTCATCACCACCAGTAACAGAAACATTGCAAATCCCATCTACATGCATAGGAGCCAAAATGATCAATAAATTGATCGTGGGCCCTTAAGATATAGAAGAAGAAGAAGAAGAAAATTTTCTCTAAGATAGGCCGCTGTTGAAAGACAGAAAAAGACCAGGAAAGTAAAATTTTAACTGCTAATACTTATTTTGCATTAAGAAGTAATTTTGATGCATTTTTAACGCTGCTACCCAAATTCTTGGGTTTCTTCTTATGTCTTGTTTTGCTTTAGGACTAAATTTACAAACAGTACGCTAACCGCTTATCGATTCTCTATGATCTGGTTAAGAATTTTACGGGGCAGATCCGGAAGGGGGTGTGTGGCACCCTGAGTTTACCACACTAGGTAGGCCTAACATCCATAGTGCCTAGTTTTTGGGTGGAGTGTGGGGGCGGGCTCAAAGTCCTCCCCAAACGGCTCAGTTTCTCTCTATGCTGCTGATTTAAAGAGACATATCATAAATAATAAATTAATGAAACATCTAGGCGCCCAAGGTGGAGCGGAGGGGTGCCATGTTTAGGTTTCACCCGGGGCGCAGCTTTTCCCTCGCAAGACTAATGTTTAAATTATCCTACGTGAAAAGTTTATAAGAATGAAAAATAAGCCTACTCTCAAACGCCAATTGGTACGTTCCTTAGAATTTATTGAAAAACACACGCACTATTCGCGTGCATTACGTTCTTTGTTAAAAGTGATGACGCTATAACTTTACCAATCTGCCATAGTTTACACTTTTCTTCCCTTGGAAGGATCATATAATAGTTATAGGACCAACGATGATTTAAATTAGATTTGCTTTGCCATAAGAAAGTCATAACAAAATGGTATCCTTATCACTCAGGGTGGGCAATAAAAGCGGTAGTAGGAAACGTCGAAGATGGCACATATATCTTTTGTTATACAACAGGAAATATACTAATAATGTGAGTATTTTTAAAAATCTTATTTAGAAATTTAAATTCGCAGTAAGAGGCGCAATTCACTTTATGCCGCACTTAGTTTCCGGCCCTTGATGCGTTCATTATGCACAATTTATCTTTCAAAAGTGAACTCTTTGCAGAGGTCGAAGTAAATCCATTCTTTAAACTCTTTGAGACGGTTAACGATACAAATTAGTTGCCTAGTAATGTATTAATTTATATTTTGTCTTAATTTGTTTTGAGTTGATATATATTGACATGTATTCATTCCATATTTTATTTAAGTTTCACCAATTCGAAAGAAATGTCACTAGTTCAGTGTTGCTAAGCGACCTTGACATTCATAATTGGATTTTTTTTTCATCAAGCGACGACCTATCAGACTACATTTTACATGTTGAGAAACTGTACGATTGAACCATTTCCGAGTGGTTAATGGTATATTAAAAGTGATTGGTTACTAAAATTGTGTAACGGTGCTATTTATAAGCCTAGTCGTTAATGAGATTTAAAAATCTAATTGACATAAAACATTTTATGATTTTATAAAAAAAAAAAAAGATAAGGAGCTATTTGATCAATTTCTAAAATCGCATAATAAAAAATTAGTTGCGTCGTGAGTCGTTCGCCATGATCATTGTCAATGTCAGTACTGTCACAGTCACAGTATCTAAATCCAATAGCCAATGGTCAACGAGTTTTGAAAAGAATGAATAAATACTTTTTTGTTTGGATCAGTCATTTACATTGAATTGTTGATTAGATTCAATTGTATAGAAGTAGCCTGATTAATGTTTACAATAATACAATAATTTAACCATTTTAAAATTAGTTGGTCAGGCCAATGGATATTTTGATAATAAAATTAGGAATCTATTATCTGGACAAGTAATAGTATTTGTAGAAATAGAACTAGAAGTATTAATAATTTATTATTAGTATTAATTAAACAATGTACTTTTTTCATTATCAGATTATCTATGGATGGCTCCTCAGTAATAAGACAAAGAAATTTATTTGGATTATTTTGACAAAATCTTAAACAAACTCTTAATTTTGTTAAGAAAACAAATCAATCATAGCAAACTATTTTATTTATAAAGTAACTTTTTATTTTTGTTAAAGATGAAACAGTTAATCTTTTTTGTACAGCTCAGAATTTAAAATTTGTTTTTAAACAAGTTACGTATGCCAAAATAGTCAAGTCAGCCCTTATTTAGTTTCTTATTCTCCTTTGCTTGCAGAGGCACTGTCAACTTGTTTTGGTGAGATTGCTGCTAAATCAACTATTTTGCTGAATTGATTAAGTTACAGTTACACTTTGGTCTTCCAGAATGACAGAAAATAACCAAAACTGCTCTACTGACACAGGTTTATTTTTTCATTTGGTTTTATGTAATTTTACAATACTAGACCATGACCATGTATAATATAATTTTCGGATAGTTAAATCTTTATTTTTTAAATTGGTGATAGAAATAAATTTAGTGAATAAGTAATAGCTAAATATTGTTGGCTTGGATTTGGATGTCAAAGTAAAAACAAACACATCAGCAGTAAAAAAAAAAACACTGGCATATTAAGGGAATATAATATGTTGAATAACTAGCCACTTTTAACATTGGTATCTACAACTTATTGTTCCTTTCAAGTTTGAATAAGATTGGAAATAAAAATTAAACTTAAAAAAAATTGCATTGCAGAAGGACTTATCCTCTCATCATTTGAGGTTCTTGAAGACAATATGGCACAAGCGAATAATGTGAGACAATTAAAACTAAAGAATACTTATGGCAACAGATTGGAGGACAATATTGTGACAAGAAGTGGTCATGTAAGGCACTCAGTGAATTTTAATAAAAACTGGCATCTCATTGATTAATATGAAAATAGTTCCTATGCTATACTGTATGACAAATAAATTTTATTCTCATGTTTAAACCAAATTAGATTTTGATTAAATGCTCCATGAAGCCTGAAAACAAATGCTATATTAAATACTTTATTATTTTTTTCCCCCCTTAGTAATAAGGGCAGAGTTCTTTGAAGAGCCACAACAAATTAATTTAAGTGTAAGGGTTTTCACAGCTAGAAAATGATGGAAGAGGCTGACATATACAATCCATTCATGTGGAAACAATTATGAAATTTTCTGATTTAACAGTTTGGACAGAGCTGTTTGTCAGATGAAAACCACCATTCTAAACTTAGTCCTCATCCTTGTGTCACTGAAGCAACAGATGGTGATGAGATGTTTGATGTCACTGACAATGATCAATTCCGTGGTGACGAGGCCGGAGATTCGCTAGATAATGATACAAACAATAACTCGCTTGATAGAGATGATGAAGGAGATGATGAAGAAGAGGAAGATGACGAAGATGAAGATGAAGTGGACGATGATGAAACAGGTGATATTGTGCGCCCAGATCAAATGCAGGTAAGCATTAAATTTAAATTTACTAAATTTATATATTTTTAAAAATCTTTATTCTAATAAAATTTATTTTTCAACAGTGAAATTGACTAAATTAAATATTCTTTTCACTATTTTAGAGTCATTTAAAATGCATTCCCTTATTCTTAATTCATTTAAAAGAACAACAATTTAATTAATTATTTTAAGCAGGCTATATTGAAATTATGTTTTGGTGAAGATATAGGCTACCATGTAACTCTTACAGATTATAATATTAAAATTATGTCTGATTTTCATAAATATTTTTATTGGCAAAAAGTAATTTATAATGACCAAAATTACAAATAGTTTTTTCTTTTTTAAAGAACCTAACGGTTGCCAGTCAAGATATTTCAGTGAGTTCTGATGTCAACCAAAGCACTACATCCCCGAGTATGTCTGACCTGAGGGGACATCATCCCCAACAGGATGCGTATGTTAACCACACAACCAGCATGACAGCCCACAGTTTCATGAATACTGGAAGGAGTAAGTGTTAGGATTGAGATGTTCTTAGCAATTAAAGTGAGCAGTAATATATAACGTGTGCTTTCAAACAAAAAGGCCACGAAATGATAATATATAAAGTTATCAAAGAAATAATTTTTTTTAAATTCTATTTTTGTACGATGTGTACCTTTTGTTAATTTTCTAAATGTTTTGATATTGCACTGATGAGTAGATAACTAACATTATAAATGAGTAAATTCATTGAAAGATTGTATAAGAAAAGCCAAGTACATTCATTAAAGAAAAAAATAAACTAAGTATTTACCAGACAGAATGGTTTAATTTTTTGCCATTTTAATACAAACCAGTTAATAATCTTTTGGATACTATACATTTGAATTAAGGCATGATTAAGGTTTAATTAACACGTATATTCTTTTCTTTATAAAACCTATTATAAGATGCTCTCTTAAAGGACTTTAAGAACATAACAAGAGAATAATCTCAATTTATTGAAGTTATGTAAATGAAATCTAATTGAATGATTACTTTTTAAAAAAGCCTTCGTTATGCAGACCATTAAGAGTATTTTCTATTATTCTTTAAGATAAACTTTTCAAAAACTGTTGTGTCAAAACCTTTTAGCTGTTTGGCACTCTGAGACCAACACCCCTAATGGTGGAAGTAGATATTCTGGAGAGTGGCATCTCCCTCTAAACACAGCTAACAATGGTTTGCACAGAGAAGCAAGACAACAGGACGTTTTCTCAGGATCTTCATCTCCTGATGAAAGTCGTGATGGAGCAAGTGATGATCAACACTGGAAATTTGTCCATGGGCATCCAGGAGATGAGCATGTAAGTTTTTTAAAGCAGACTATGTGCAGAGCCTCAACATAACTTATTGATAACTCAGCATATATAATTTGTCTCATCAATAGCAGCTTCTATAAATTGATATGATCCAAATGCATTGCCCAACATTTGACATAAAGATAAAATATTGAATATCTTTTTAAAAAAAAATTGAAATACATACCTCTGGATTTAGTTTTTCCACAGTAAATAAGTTCTCATATTTCATTATTGATAGTCTAATATTTTTTGTAAAAATTAATATCTGTGGACTCTCTTAAATAAATGCTATCATATATACAATGTGGTCTAGACTGGTCATTAAAGACCAATTATTTTCTTTAAAAAATCTTTTTTACCAAAGAATTCTTAGTTTTTACAATTTTTGTAAAGACTAATTAATTTAAATTTTCCTGCAAGAAGAAATATATAAAAATTTGATTATATTATAATCATGAATTATTATTACCAGTATGAACATTTAGCCATAATATATTACATATATACATAACTCAAAAGGGATTCTGGGTTATTGAACTTATCTATTCAGTCTTGATGTTGAAATTCATTTTTTTGAAAAGGTGTTTACCGTATCTTTGGTTATCTGATATCAATTATACAAACTGATTTCTGCTAATGAAGTTATTGAAGAGTCAAATAAAATAAAATTCAATATTTTTTCAGTTGGTAAGATAAATAATGGCCCAAAAAAAGTTCTGGAGGGCTATTTAAATATTTTTTTAAAGCTTTACACCTCTTCACCTTAATCATTGCTATTTATACTGATATTCAAATCACATCATTATTACACAGATCTCTAATTGGATTTGATTTTTACTTTGACGTTTCCTTTTTGACCTATGCAAAACATAGAAAGAGCTTCACTGGTAGAAGTGACATGTCTATTACTATTAAAAAATATATATATAGGCTCACTGGGGAGCAGATCATGGACAGACAAAAGTTGTTGTTGGACCAGGTAGTGCAACTTGGGCTGCACCTAAACGGGAACTAGATGATGATCAGGCCCATGATTTACAGACCTTACATCCCCATGGAAGCTTGGAGCGACCTGGACACTGGGGTCAGCACATCAGACCTTCTCAGCCTAATCTTCATGGTTGGCCTAAAGAAATTGGTAGGCCTGCCCAAAAAGTTTGGTCCTCAATTTAAAGATTTCAAACTGCGTTACTTTGAATTACTGTTCCTTCAAGTTCATTGATATTTGATTGTCACTTCCAGAACACATTTCAGGACTTAACCATTTAGAAATTGCTGTGTGCTCTTTTAACCCTGATAATAAAATTAAAATAACCTATACTTCATGTATAGACAAATATGGCTGTTTAGGAACTATTTTGAAGTCTTTGCATATTTAAGATCCCGAGCTACCCAAAATACATTTATTGATGATATCTTTTACAGTGCCAGCAGCATTATGAAATAACTTTTGATTTAATGCTTAACATGACTCTCTTAATGAATATCTTATATATATATATATAACATTTGACAGGATATATAACCCTTTCTTAATAAAGCTAATTTAAAGAAAGTCATTTCGCTCTGTTTTATCAACATTTTAATGTATCCAGGTAGTGTGTTTACTCCTGAGCCTGATCTTAACAATGTGAGGAACTTATTTGCCCTGCAGCCAGCCCAGACAGCACTGAGTGCACCATCTGTTAATGCCACCTACACAGATCTAGGAACAGCAGGTGCTGGGGTAAGTAGACTGTAGATTCTATTTGAATACCTATACCTATGTGTCTGTCAGAATAAACTAGAACTTGTCAGTAATATATTAGTATTTTGTAATAATAAATAAGCATATATTTATGCTATCATTTTTATTTAAATTCTGTGCTTCCTGCCCATGTTGGTGTACACATTTTTAATGGAGCACAACTGTTCAAATAAGAAATGTAAATTGACACACCCTTTAAGAAAATAGTTTGTGGATTTGAAATTTAATCAATGACACCATTTCATTCAAAACACAATCCTAATAATAAAAGACAATTTTAATGACTGACCATTTTAGTGGCATTTCTGAACTGTAGTGCCTCAAAATGACTGTCAACAATTAGGGATTTATTTTAAAGATTATACTTTAGAACAGGCCTTCATAATATATGGCCGCAGGCCGCATGCAGCCCGCCAGCACCCACTTGGCAGCCCGCGAAGTAACAAAATATTCTTAATTATGATTATTTTCTTAATAGCTTTCGCCCCTGTCCTATTATCTTTTGGCCCGCACAAGTATTTTATAAAGTATTAACGCGTGCACAAGTTTTTCATAAAATATTACGGCCCGCCTTACATTTGGAGTTATGCAGGCCTGCTTTGGAAATCTTGGATTAACAAAAAATATTTGATTCAAACATAGAAAGTTAACTTGTAAATAAAAATCATAAAGTTAGGAAATGGTAGTCTGTCAGAATCAGTGTTTACAGTTTAAAAAATTACCAGAACCAAATGCATAAAGAAAAAGGCAGATTATTAAATAGTAGTTTTTTTCACAAAGACATGGAACCTCGGAAGTCACCTGCCAGCAGGACCAGGTCTAAGTGCATTACCCAGACCCTTACTTCGTCATGACATGACTTGCCATAGAACAGGAACTCCTGGGCTGTACCATCAGACTCCAACTCAGGGCTACTCTGGTTTTCAGGGACAAGGGAGAGAAGACTGGCAAACACAAGGTAACAAACTGAAATATTTTGGTATCTTGTTTACATTGTTTTATAAATGAACAGATTATTTTTGGAAAGTTATTTATTGGACTACTTGTAGGCCAATAACTGATAGTAATTAAAGTCACAATTATTTTTTCATTTATCAGCTCTAAGCCCTGGGCCATCTGGTCTTACTGCAGAAGTTCCAACAGAGCACTTCAAAATATCTGGTGTCCAGAGAGGCCAGGTCTGCAAATCAGCAATACTAACCAAACGTGGGAAAGGGAGGGGGGCAAGGGGAGGACTAACATTGTCAGCTTCCAATACCCAAAATCCAAGCCAAGTCAGGACAACTCTTGATCAGGTGATTGTACATAGTTAAAGAATATCTTACCTCCAGTTCCTAGTATTAAAAACAGTTTACAAGCTAAAGCCTTTTTAGTTTTAACATTTTAAAAAAAATTGTATGGACATAAATTTCATTCTCATGTTCTAAATGAACTGCAATTGAGATTTAGATTTGTTTAGGTCCGACAACAAACCCATCCCTACCAGATCAAAGAGCAGAAAAAGGTGGTGAGAGATGTGTATCCCGCTACTTCAGCCAATGTTCATACGCTCAAGGCATCTCACATTGTTTCCTGGTAGGTCCATTAAAAGTTTGATACTGTATCTGTAACATCTCTAGCAAAAGTTACATTACAGAAAAGCAATATTAATAAAATATAAATGATGATGACTAAGTGGATTAAATTAAACTAAAAAAATTATGTATGAAATCTGGGACCAAGCAAAATCAACTTATAGTTTATTTTATATGATTGAAGCTCAGTTGAAAAAGTATCATCTCCAAAGCAAAAGTTTAAACAACAAAGCTTACATACAAGGAGAAAAACTTAAAGTGATGAACTGAACATTTGTATCCCTCAAAACAAAATTTGAAGTAATTTTTTTTTTTTTTTTTAGAACTTTACCTCTTTGTCATGGATAACAATTACAAAATAAAATCTCAACAGGTACATCGATTATTTGATTCACGAGAATGAACATCTGACTCAAATCTCCAGAGCATTTTCCCTACCTGTCAACCTTTTCCATTCAGATGACTTTTACTTTATGGATAGCCTGAAGAAAAAAGTAAATGTTTTATGTGTATCAGGTTGATTTGCTTTATTTGTAGAATAGCAAAGTACTGTATACTGTGGACCTAAAATGAATATAATTGAAGCTAATTATGAGTAGTCAATATTATTTTTGAGTTTTCTTTGAAATCTTCAAATATGGGAATGATTGATAAGAGAGCTAAAACTGATAAATTTTATAAGCCGTTTTTTAAACATTAAAAAAAATTCAGCAGGTCAGAGGAGTGTTCATTATTGAATTTTACAAAGACCAATGGAGAAATTATTTTCAAAAAGTGTTATTTAAGCTTAAATTTGTTGAAATTATTATGGAAATGTAATGATGATAACAAGACATACAGCAACATGGACAAAGGTTATTGTCATTTCCTCGTAAGTATGGTTATTAAAAAAAATATTTCTGTAACTAGCCAATAGGCTGCTTTGTATGGCAACCAGTAAGGAAATAAACAAAAGCTTGTTAACATCTTCTGGCTAGCCTAAATGGGAATAGTTTGTTTAATTAACAATAAAATGATAGAAGCATGACCATAACTAAGTTACCAGTCATGGGTATTTTGAATCACTGCCATGAATCATAAAACTTTTATTAAAAGACCTACTTTTTCATCTGATTTTATCCAGGTACACTTTCCAAGCCTTAAGTTCTTATCTTGGATGCAGCAGAATCTTCCAAGCATTAACGTCAATGCTATAGACTTCCATGAGGGGAGACCGCCAGTGATGTCCACCTGGAACCAAGATTGGTTCTGGCAAAATAAATCCAGGCGAGACATCATCCATGATGTATTCTTCTACTTTCAACATCGTAGAGTTACTTGTGAGAATTAGCATTAACATGCAGTACAATAGTCCTGATGATCAGAAATGATGATGATAGCAGTAATATTTGAACAAAATGGCAAAAAAAAAAATGTAATGGTACTGACATTGGTCTCATGGTAATAACAATTTAAGAGCTGCTGATATCCTAAAATATTATAATCAAATTTTTATTGAAATCATTATCTCAAAGTACCTGTGAATGACAACTGTCAAATAAAAAATGAAGACTTTTTTGCTGGTAAGGTTAAGTTGCCATTTACTTTCGAAACTTAAATTGTAATGTAATACATTAGTTTTGGTAATGTCCGATATGGTATACAATTGTTTCTTCACAACAACATCAGTAAAAATTAAATTTTTGATGTGAACTCAAAATTAACTATTTTCACTTGTTAAACGTGCTGATAAGAACTATTATTCTGTCCAACTTTTCATCTGTAAACCATATGTTATGTTGTAATGTGATACAAATGAATATACAGTGCATAATTTAAAACAATTTCTATATACATATAATATAACTATTTAAATCAAAGCTTGCTTAAAATTCTGTAAAAAGCAAATTTGTGCTGTTAGCAAATAATATTGTATGATGTGAAATTTATTAGTCATTCATGAATCCTCATTTTTTAAATATGTGAAATGTATTGTTTCCTTATCATATACTTAAGGCTAGTAACCTTGATTTCCTTCATTTAAATAAAGCCTATTTGTTTCATTACCTTTTATCAAATTATGTAAATAACAGCTTTAATTTTGAATTTCATTGACACCATGTTTTAAATGAGAATTTTATGTAAATGTATGAATATGAAACAAATATTTTTTTAAAGGAGCAAGACTAATATAATTTTTAAATATTTAAGATGGAACACCCTGCATTTCATATTTATTTAAAAAGTGTTACGGTGTTCAGTTATAATGATCAAACATTGAAATGACTTGTTTAAATTGTTTAACATGTTATTACATACCATATTAAAACAAACAGAAATGTAACATGAATCTTATGTTTAAAAAAATTTTGCCAATGCATCATGCGGATACTTTAAAAAGAAATACCTAGTACCTATCTTATAACAAAAAATATTTTATAATATAATAAAGGATATATAAAGAAAATTATGTTAAGAAATAAAGATACATAAAGATCAATTACATTCATGTATTTTTCCCAGCAACTTGATTCTATGTAGGATATGTGATGATTATTACTTTAGCTTTATAAATTTTTATTTACTTTTTAAAAAGTTATTCATATCCTAATAATTAGGATTATTTATATAATTAATTATTCAGAAATGTTTGATAACCATTTTTGTTACTCATTTGAGCAATCAATAGATTTTTAGTTTTAAATACATTTTAATAGATGAAAATGTTCTTTTTACATTGTATTATGAAAAATTAAGAATTATAAGTGATATTGCAAGTTAATATTGTTTTAATGAATATGCTGTTTTATTCAAATATTTATTATTTTAATCATAAAAAATATGTGCATTTTTAAAGGTAATGAATATGTGTCTACAATGATGTTTCTGTTTGTTTACACAACCTTCCAAATTTAAAAAAAATAATCTCTATGGCTAAATTTTTAAGTTTAAGTTTGGAATTGTTTTGTTTTATTTCCATGAGGTTATTTTTGAAAATAAAACTAACTTGCACTTGAACTGTTCTACAATCATTTAGTTGTGTAAGTATACAGAAATTGAATTTATCATTTAGAAACTTTTGACACAAAAAAAGGTAACAAAAAAAAACGTTATTTAGAAATACAATTTAATATACAAGAATTGTGTTCCATAAAATATCACAGAATGTATAGATTAATAAATATATTCATGTTTTATAAAGGCACATTTCCATTACAACCTAGAAGACTTGCATAAATCTTTATAAACAGTTTTTCTTGGGACTTCTGACTCACTCTTGAGTTGGACTCCTCAATACATGTATCATATTGGCATAAAAAAAAGTCATGCGCTATTTAAAATCCATAGAAGAGGCATTTTTATTCAAAGAAATTGAGAAAAAGTTGGTGTTACATTTTCCTATTTTGACATTTTTCTGGTAATTGCCACATACATATTAAAAAAATTTAATATTTTCATTATTGATAGTATGTGAAAACAATCACATAGGTGTCACTGAACTATACACAAAACATGCAATTATAGGAAGACTGTTCAGTCGCCAATTATTTTACACTAATGAACTACATTTGATTTTGGCTGGATATTCTTTAAATGCCATCATCAATGTACAGTACACATTTAAATTGAACTAACTGTTAAAATTATCTTGGTCCTTTAATATTTGAACTTGAAGTGATTACACCATACTATCAAACAATTACTGATGGCACCAAACAGCAAAAACATCCAACAATCTCTTTTTAATCAAGCACCAAATATAACAAAATATTATTGTGAAGGTTTAACTTGTATCTGAAAGAAAACACACTGTTATGGACTAGTTTGCATTGCAAGCACCAGGCGCAAGACAATTCAATTTCCCCCTCACCCCCACCCCACAATTAAAGATTTTCACATTTTTATTTGGGGAGACATGTTAAAAAAATTTGACTATTGAAACATTTTATGTGTGATAAGACAATTTTAAGTTCTAATTATGATTAGGCCTACAGTTTTCTGTTTTTTTATCTAGACATGTGCTCCAAAGATTTTGACAACTGGAGCCGCTACTCCCTTGATTTCCAACCTCACTCTACAATGAGTTTCATTAAAAAAAAAAAAAAAGTTCTCCTAAATTTCACTCTCACTGTGCATGGAATTTCAAAGGATTTTGTAAAATATAAAAAAAAATGTCAATGTTTAACACTTTTTCAAAAGTAATAATGTGCATATATAATGCTTAGCCAAATCAGAGACATAAATGGTTGTGCTGAAATTTCAACACAAATGGTTTAAAGTTAAAGGTTATAACCCTTCCAAAGAAACACTGGTAGAAATTCTATATCATGGTACCAAAAAAAAATGGAGACATATTATTAAATTTTAATAATAAAATAAAATAAAAAGGTACTTGCTTAGCTCTAGGAAAAATAAATGAAGGGGTAAAGTTAAAGCCAAAGTTGAAAGAAAGCTCCCTATTTGCTCAATGTTTTTTTATTTCTAACAAGGGTCTCAAAAATTAATGTGCACATACAATTAAAAATTTAATCCCCATTTAATTTTTGGTTGGTAGCTGCTCAGTGTGTAGTTATTCCTAAGGTAATTTTAACAAAGGAATTGGATATCAGGGATAGAACAAGTATTTAAAACAATTTTCAATGATTATTATTAGTTTTGTGTCCAGATTTTCCAACAGGTGAGGAGATGAATACTGGAGACTGCCTAGACTGTGACAAAGGAACTGGTAACATTGACACTCTGGTGTCACGTTGGTTGTCCACAGGCCCCTGCGATGCTTGACCTGGTTTAATTTGTTGCAGTTGTAGCAGTTTAGATCTTGTTGAAACCGCCAGTTTTCGCCATGCTTTGAAAATCTATAAGTGTACAATGACAGGTCAGTAATTATAGTTAAGATTGGCAAATTAGCAAAACATAACTAATAATAGTAACTTTATTTTTTTTAGATAATGGGCATTGTCAACAGGATCTAACATTTAAAGCATGAGTGGTTAAGTTAATCATGTAGACTCATGCACAGAGATGGTAGTCATTATTATTTGTGTGGTTAGTGAGACTTCCTAAAATGTTTGCTCTATAGGGCAAATAAGGACGTACATTAGCCAGTTATTGAAAACTCAACCGTCCGAAGTCTGTTATTTAAAAAAAAATATATTTTTTTCCAGACGAAAATCTAAAACCTCAAAAAGCCTCATTGCTAAATGCAACCATGACACTGACCAATGTTAGTTTAACAGCTCACTTACAGTTAAGTCAACCCCATTAAAAGCAGTACATTGAGGCTCACTAACAGTTGTAAAATTTATTTAATTATAATGGTTCAAATGTACCTGGCTGAGGGTTTGCTTTTCATATTGTTCAACTATCTTCTGTGTAGAGTATGCTTTGATATATTCTCTCCTCCATTTGGCCCACACTCTTTTCTGGACAAACTCTTGCTCCTTTAAGGTGAACGAGTGAAAAATATTTATCTTAAACGTATTCGTTGATAAAAAAAATGTTTATTATTAGCATCTTCTTACTAAAATACACAGAACATGTAAGAATGTCATATGTTTGGTTAATAAGTTACCAGTATGACAGCACAATGAAATAAATTTAAACTACTGCTTTTTGCTTTCAATACCTTTGGGACTGGTAATTTCTTCATGGGTGTGTTCCCAAAGATTGACATGGTGGGGAAATATTATTACTACAGTTGAACCATATATATCTTTTTTTGATAAGCAAGATGACTTTATGGGTATTAAATGTAGAGTGCCAAAGTTATGTATACACTAGCCACACAAATGTTGTACAAAGACAGATGATTGTCATTTACAAACCAATGTGAAAAAAGAAGGAAAAAAAAAATCCTCAAGAATCAAAAATCAAGTTGATAAGAATTAAGAAATAATTTTTAGTTCAAATCAACTATCAAACATCTCCTTAAGCATTGTGATAAATGATTATGTTTTTAAAATAATTATTTAAATAAGTTTTTTTTTTTTAAAAATGATCATGTTACCCACCAGAAATATAGCTGTAACACAAAGATCAACTTTATTCTTCCACATCTTGGCATATTTATTGCACAAACGCTGTGACCTTTTTTCAACCATATGATGTACTGAGACCTCCAGTTTCATTGCTGAAAATGCAGACTTACTGGAAAAAAATGTTCATTCAAATTTTAATTTTTTAAAACGGAAAAATTAATTCTATTTTTAATGAACATGCAAAATATAGGTCTAGTGAGTTAATATATTATTTTATTTATCCATATTGTCTGAAGTTGTCTGAGAGATTATCTCATGACTTGGTGGGGTGACTTGAATCTTAGACTTAAAGTGATTGACTATAATCTTAGACTTAAAGTGATTGGCTATAATCTTAGACTTAAAGTGATTGGCTATAATCTTAGACTTAATGTGATTGGCTATAATCTTAGACTTAGAATGATTGACTAATCTTAGACTTAAAGTGATTGACTATAATCTTAGACTTAAAGTGATTGACTATAATCTTAGACTTAAAGTGATTGGCTATAATCTTAGACTTAGAATGATTGACTAATCTTAGACTTTGAGTGATTGACCATAAACTTTCTACTGGTGAGGTTGTTAAAGATTGATGCAGGATTTATGTATTTATGAATAAAGATTTTTTTTAAAAAGAACCTACCACAAAATTTTATTGTAAAAACTGACAGCTTTCTCCCAGTTGTCCCTGTCTTGTTTTCTGTCTAAGCACTTTTTATGGACAAATCTGTGCCACCGCTTGACCACTCTGATGGTCAACATATGTTTGTAGCATCTGACCATGAGCAGAAAGTGAAACCAACGTGATATAGTGACTCATTTTGTTAATAACTTCTTTGAACTTACATTTTATTTATAAATGGTATGAAAGAAAATGTAGAAATCTCAAAATTCTTAAAAAAATTTCTTAATGAAGATGTCTAATTATATAATATCAATTGCTTAGGTCTGCATTTCCTTTTTTATAATAACATTTTTAATGAATATTTAAATTTTGCAGATTACGCGAGGCATGGTATATTCAGTAAATCATTCTAAGATTCTTGAAGCTATGTAGATCAAAGTTATTATTTATTATTATTATTTGTTAACCTTCTCTATTTGAAAAATATAGTCACTCAAGATTTTTTAAAGTTAAAAGCTATTTTTAATTTTCCGAACCTGATTGCAGCAAATGGAGAATCTTGAATAATTTTTATTAAAAAAAATATTTATGTTTTATGCCATACATGGCTGATACCTTATAAATAAAACCAATTACCAGACAGCAGTCTCAAGCCCTCACCTGACTGACACAAGTTTGTTGATTCTTTCTTTCCACATGACAACAACAGCCCTCATGGTGGCCAGCTCCTTGTCCTTGACAATTCTCTCAGCCATGTCGTGAAGGCTGGTACAGTACTCTGCTCGCCAGCGGATATTCTGGAAGGCATTGTGCAGGATTCGAGTACAGACATTCCTTGTCATAAGGGCCTGAAGTTCTCTCAAGTGATGCAGTTTATGAGAATAATGACGCCATGCTCGGAAAACTCTGAAAATGTTTTGAAACAGTTATAGTTCTAATGTCATTGACCTCTTACTAAATATTATTTCAAATGTTATTTTTTAAACCTCAAAGTGGTCCAAAAAATTTAGCTTAATTTGTTATAAATATTTTTTTATAAATTTTTAAAATAAAAAATAACTAGAAAATTGTCACTTTTCCTTAAAATATAAGTCTCCTCTTACCTAATCTGCAACTTTAGCTCCACATTTTGTTGTACTGACAGTTTAACTTTTGTCACTGCAACCCAGTATTGAAAATAGACATGGAGACTTCGTTCTTGAAGAGCTTTCTTTAAGGCTAAACCTCTAATTCGTCTTTCTCTGTTTACTAGGAAAAAAGAAATGAACAATTTTTTACCCTCTGCTATGAAAAAAATAGAGGAGTGATGCAAAAAAATTATATTTTGTAATCTATGCCAACCTCTGTGTTCAGTTTGGTTTATAACTCTAATGGCAACCAAACTAAGATCTATGCCAGCCTATGTGTTCAGTTTGGTTTATAACTCTAATGGCAACCTAACTAAGAGCAAGTTATTGCCAATCGGCAGATTTAATATTTTCTAAATGTGTAAACAATATAAATAACAAAACATTTATGATCTTTTAAAAAATTTAGAATCCTTTTGTATCTTATTTTAAACATGCTAGGAGAGTGTACAAATTAAATTTTGGTTCACAAGTTCCATGGTGATAAGGCAGGCATCCAAGCAAAAAATGCATGGTCTCTTCTTAGTAGCATTATTGTATTGTATAACTAGCTCATTTTGTTATAACCTTTTTTGATTTACCTTTTTTTTTAAATAGCTTCACTGCAGAATTATAAAATTTTACAGTGGTTAAGATGATTACATTATCAGCTTTTAGCATCCCAAATAAAACCATTATGATAAACATTTCCTACAGCTAATCTCAATTACCTTTAGCAAATACTCTCCACTCAGCCAGCATTGCATGCAGCAGGCGTGACATGTAAAGTTTTCTTGCCTGGTTAGCAACAAGCTGAGTCTGCCATGACCTCAAACAAACTTTCAACACGTGCATATTTTTCTTGCTTGACCAGTCATCAAGTTGGTTGTACAGAAATTGGATGTGCGACAGTGAAGCTCTCCAGTGTTGGAAGCAGTGCTTTGTCTGATAGATCAGATAACGTTTATGTTTTTTTTATTGTTAAGATCATTTTTTAAACTTTTAAAATGCAAAACAGATCAACTTATTCATAAATTCATTACATAAAAGACCAATGGAAGATAATTTTTTTTTTTTTAAAGGTAGATAACTCTCTCAGACTCCCTACTTACAGAAATTATGTCAAGCTTTTGTGTAGTGGTGATAGGAAACTCATTTGCTTGGCTATTCTATTTATTTTATATATTTTTAAAATGAACAAGAGCATTTTATATGACCACTGAAACATTTTTTAAAGCGTTTAAAAAATTTATTACTTTTATTCTTTGTATAAATTGATGCACTTTTCAATTTCTTTCCATCAATTACCTTTCTTTTTTCAAACATAATTGTCAGCATTTCACCCCGTCTCTTCTGAGCTTTCCTCCTCCAGATACCAGCAAAGTTGAGGGCTATCTGCTCAATGTGAACTCTCCTCTCCTCAGTCAGCTGCTGCCTTTTTTTGTAAGCCTCATGCCATTGAAAGAACTGTCGTTTGACCTAGTTGCATTAACATGTATACAAAAACAGTTGTATTACAACACTGCATGAGACAAATATGATAAAAATTAGATTAAAAATAAAACTGTTAACATCCTGAATTAGAAGCTGTTAAAAAATATTGTGTGGTTAGTGTGAATGTCATACTTAAATTAGTTAAGCCATACAATGATTGAGAGCCTTGTCATTAGATTACCACCAAACAAAATATTTCATGCTCAGATATGACATGTAATTTTAGAATACAGTGTGAGTTAATTTTTCTGTGTGCAAATGCTCTTAACCCACCAGCAAGGTATAGGATTGAACTTGGAAGTGCAGAACCTTATGTTTCTTGTTTCTCATCTCTCTCACAGCGAGTCGCCAATCACGGAAAATACTGGGGGGGGAAAAATTATTGCAGTAATAAATGTTATTATACAGCAATCTCAAAACATTTGTTTTAAAATGTGAACAAATTAATCTCATTGCTTGATGTTTTTTTTACAGCAATCTCAAAACATTTGTTTGAAATTGTAAACAAATCTCATTGCTTGATGTTATTATAAAGCAATCTCAAAACATTTGTTTGAAAATGTAAAAAAATCCCACTGCTTGATTTTTGTGGGGAAAAAAAAAAGATCAATACAGGCTGTAATTATTAAAAACTTAAATTACTATGACAACCAATGTTCCCTTGAAGCTGCGCGAATGAGTGGCCATGCAGCTATCTCACAGATGCCGCGCAGCTATCTCACAGATGCCGCGCAGCAGTTTTGAGTATCTGTGCAGCAAATTTATGTGTGTGTGTTTGTGGGCTATAACAATTTGCACACAAAAAATTGATGCTGTAAAACTTTGCACACAACTGTATGATTTTGCACACGAATCAGTAAAACTTAGAGGGAACATTGATGACAACAATAATTATTTCATAAACTGGCAAGACATAACCGATAAAAAAAATAAAAATATATATCACTGTTTAAACTTAAAATCAAATTGATACTGTAGTAAATTCAAAAAGCTAAAAAAATGATTTTCAAATATAAGGAATAAAAAAACAAATTCCACAAATTATTTCTAAAAAACAATTTTTTATAACCTGGGTTGAAAACATTGGTTGTGGAACGAGCCCCACCCCATCCCTATTTTATGGATCCCAGGGCGTATTGTTAATATGGTGATATAGAAATAAATCATTTTTTTAAAAGAGTAGCTGGCATAAAATTTTTGCAGGCACCTGGTCCAGAATTTAAAAATACAAGTTCATAGGCCATATGTAATACCTGTAGAGAAGCTTGTGCATCGCATTGCTACGGATGCTCTTTACTTTGACAGTAAGTGACTTCCAGAAGGTAAAAGAGCTTTGCAGAGCATGCCTTGATTGCTGCTGTTGAAAGACTTGCTGAAGAGAATGAAGTTTATGACTAGCTGAAAGGATAAAATTGAAAGTTAACTCAAAATTTTCATTGACAATTTTTAAAATAAAAATGAATAAAAAGTTTTGATTTCCATATCAATTATTGAACATAATTCTTAACAGCAATCTATTTTGCCTTTATTACAACAAAGTCTAAATTACCTGTTGCTTGAATGTTTTACATTGTGCATTTAAAAAAAAAAATCCTATATTGATCTGCTATATTTAAAATATTTCATATCATAATGAACACACACAAGTATTTATTATTGCTTATTATAATGGACTCTTAAATTGGAAAAAAGGGAATTATTGGGGTAAAATTAGAACATAACTCACTTTTGGCCCAGATTCCCCACTGCTGGAGTATGATTCGTAAATAATTGTTCCAAGCCTGCTGATAAAGTCTCTCAGTCTCTGTACTCTGTGAGAACCTCTGGCACCATTTCCTAAAAGCCTATTAACAAATAGCGGGAAATTTTTAGAAAAAAAAATAGGCTATAAATTTATTTATTTTGGCTCCATTTTGATATGTTTATTCTAATAAAGAACTTAAGAGAAAAACCCAGAAGCTGAATCTTTTACTAAGCATATGTTTAATCTTTTGAAATTTGTATTTCTTCTCAATTACAGGTGAAGCTATATATTTATGTCAAGCTCAAAGGAAGTAAATGTGTAAAACTTAACAAACTTTCATTATGTGCAAGAGCAGTGTAGATTTTAAAAAAAAAAAGAAATTTAAGCTTACCAACTTAATTCGTCTTTGGTTGAGGAACTCTTGAGATTTGAGGATAACAATATGTTTTTCTCTGGCCCACTCTCCCCAAGCAGAGAAAATCCTAAAATATTTTGAGATGTGTACAAATTATAAATAATGTTGGAGGTGAAAGAAAGAAACAGCAGACAACTCTTCCTATTTCAGCTTACAAAAGCTAATGGGAAGCTAAAACCTCTGAAGGGAACAAAGAAGACAATATATGCCATTATCATAAGACCAGTAGTCTAACTTTTGCTAGAGGAACTTGGTCTTAGAGCTATACCAATTGTACAAAGACCCCTCCAATAGTCACGTCAATTAAAAGAAAAGGCAGACTGCAAACATATTGATAGGATGACAGATTGTAGAGCAGCAAAAGTGATATACAGGCAGAAACCTAGGGGAAGACAGCTCAATGGTTGACCAAGACTGTGATGGATCAACAGTGTAGAGAAGGATTTACACCAGTTGGGGGTTCGCTTTTGGAGGTGGAAAGCCGTGGATCACTCTGAATAGATGGATGTGGTGGAGCTGGCCAGGGCCCTATATGGGCTGTAACGCCACTGAGGATGATGATTTTAAATGCCTATTTGCTTGATATTTTTCAAAAACATTGTTGATCTGTTGAGTTTTTTCTTAATGATTGTTTATTATCACCTTTCATAACTTACTTTTACCCATCAAGAAACTGATATTTATGTTTTAGAAAAAATTATTATGCTTTAAAATTAAATATTAGTTGGTTGCAATGTAAAAAGTATGTTCTTAAATTAGTTGGAAAATGAAAACTGCATGTGAGAAAGTGAACAGTAACTTTATTTTGTAGGTAGTTAAATGAACATGAAAAATCTTCATTAACAGAGATAAACTGCAGACAAAAAGCAAATGTAAACTTGTGACAAACAGCCAAAACTCTAAATATGAAAAACAACATCAGGAAAAGAAAGTGGATGCAGATTGAACAGAAAGGTACAAGAGGGCATGCCCTGAACACATGGGGAAGGGACCTATCTGGTGAGATGGAGTGATGGGAATTAAGCAAGATCTAAACTGTAGCGAGTGATAATTCATAATCATAAGCTACTCAACCGCTACTCAAGATGCAGGGAGAAAGGATACTTTCAAAATTTACATTCAAATTATCTTACCATTTAAGTAGACTACCATGATAAACGTTCCTGATTTTAGCAACAGCCCTGTACTGTATCAGCCACAGAGAGAAGCAGAGAAGGAGTGTACGCTGACTTAGTTTCTGTGACATCATCTTTTCCAGGGGATACAGCTCATTTTCCCTTGGTGTCCTAGATATCCACAGGTGGAGAATTGTCTTTTCGTGGCATAATTCCTGAGTCTGTAAAGAATTTTTTATTTACATTAAAATTACACATCATCATTTTTTGTGATCATTTTAAGATATTTTGAACAGAATTGTGTCTTTAAACAAATTTGAGAAAGTACTTTAACTGATCTTGGATATGTCCGTTATGATAAATTTCATTCTCAGTAAATAATTACAACTTTTTGGACTAGATTAGATAAAACTGATGAGACCTTATGATGCCAGGCAGGAAAGTACTTGTGAAAAGCCACCATCATACAATGCTGGTGTGCTCTCTGAGATAGTTGCTTAACATACTTTCTGTCATCTTTGTAACTCTGGAGGGCTTGAATACATCTTGATAATACACACATATTCTGAAATAAAGCATCATTAGTGATCTGAGTGCCCCAAATTAAAAATAAAAATAAAATGTCTAATCGTATTGCTTTAAACACACCAACCAGAGAACGGCAGCTAAATAACCTTAACTGTCAGTGTCTAAGTTCATTTCTCCATCTGACACCAATAATTGGTTGTCTTGAACCATAAGTCAACTCAGAATCTCTGTAATGAGATGATGAGAATTGATTTGAGCCTTGTAAAATAAGAATTAGACTTGTGCAGCATTTTTTAGATTCATTAACACAGTTGAGTGCTAGACCTGGAGAGAAAACACCTATCAACTGCAACATGCAAATAAAAAGGGTTAACACTTCTCCTAAATTGGTACACGCCATTATAAATTGTTATACAGCCTCAATTTCTTGCGAAATAATCACTATTGGTGCTTGTTTGAATAAAATAAAATGTGTATATATATATTTTTTAAATGATGGATTGCTTTTTGAATAAAGCCAGGTTTGCTTAAAATAACTCACAATCTAAATCATACCCTGAACTTCTGTGCTTTGATCATGCTGTGGTGATGATTTTTCCATTCCTTAAAAGTAAGGATGGTCATTGTTCTTGTGTGTAGAGCTGCCAGCTGGGCTGATGCTGCTTTGAGTTGTGTGCACCTTGCTGTCAGTTCTTTCCACTGTTCAAAAACAACACATATTGGCCAGTGCATCAATCTAATTACAGCCTTTGTGACCATTTCCTGAGAAGATAAAAAAAAAGAAAAATCCTTGTTAGTCAGTTATCCTTATATGCACATTTCAATTGTTTTCATATTCTTAATGAAAACATTTTTATTAGTACAAAATGAATTAATTTGAACCAAAACACTTAAATGATGTAAATCATATCAAAGGGTTTTTAAAATGACATGAATTCATGAATAGTGACGAATGAAAATGTTTCTTTTAAAGTTTGTGTTAATAAAAAAAAACAACAGAAAAAGATTTCAAATGGTCAAAGCATTTATTGTAAGTAGCAAGAAGAATAGTTTAATCATATCAATCATAGAACTTACCTTTAACCTCTGACATTTCGCCTGATGGTCTTCAATGGATGCTATCAATCCACCATTAATTAAATTATATCTGTCAGTGTCTAAGTTCATTTCTCCATCTGACACCAATCTAAGAAAAAAAGTATCATACAAATTCTTCTGGCACACACCTCAAATCTGTTGTGTTTAGTTTTATATCCCCAGCAAAAAAAAAAAAAAAAGAAACAAAAAAAAGCTGTATTAGAAAAATGTATTATTATCCCTTGATAAACTAACTTCTTCAATTGAGAAGTGTTTGTAAGAAAGTTATTTCTCCATCTGACACCAATCTAAGAAAAAAAGTATCATACAAATTCTTCTGGCACACACCTCAAATCTGTTGTGTTTAGTTTTATATCCCCAGCAAAAAAAAAAAAAAGAAACAAAAAAAAGCTGTATTAGAAAAATGTATTATTATCCCTTGATAAACTAACTTCTTCAATTGAGAAGTGTTTGTAAGAAAGTATTTCAGAAAAATCATTGTAATACTGCACCCAATGTTTCCATGAATGTTATATTATTTTTTTAAATCCAGGAAATCTAAATAAAAGCCCTTTAACTAAAAATCCTAAAGCAAGAGATGTGATTCTTTGATTCAGTTTATTAAATGGCTCTAACTTTGAAAATTACCTTCCATTATCTAAAACAAGACTGGGTGTTGAAAAATTTCCCGTCAGACCTTTATCAGAAGTGTCATGTACATTTCCTGCACAGAAGTGAAATAAATGAGAAAATGTAATTTGATGGAATGCTATTTTATATAGTTATTTTTAGGTTATTCTCCAATACTAGAGGGATAAGTCCCTATACTCTTCACCTATGAAATAGTCCATTAAATAAAAATTGTAGAAGTCCTAAGAGTATGAGTTGAAACAATCCATGCATCTGCCTTATGAAAACAGGTCTGGATATATGAATGTAACCATTCTGAGAACCACTTTCCGCAAAGTAGTGTAAAATTGAAGAAAATACTTTTACTGAGAATTAATCCTGTAAAATATTTGACAAAACAGTAGTTATCATCTGGTTTTTTTAACAGCCAGTTCGCGGCTGAACTCATGCTTACCAGCTGATACTAGTACTGAGTGCATGCTGATCACTGATGCACAAATCAGTCACTGATTAAATCAACCAAATTCACGAGCCTTTTAGGGCAAATAAAAATCTGGACATGGCAATGAAGTTATTCAATGACTCACCATTGTATTCTGCATAAAAAGATACTATATGGGATCGGCAATCCTGTGTATTAGCTTTGACGAGTCCAATCCTTTCTGAGAACATTTGGACAGCATCTGAGACGGCATGATCAGTGACTTCATGCCAGGCAGAGAAAATGGTTGCCAAAAATCGGTAAGTCTGTGTTTTGTTGTAAGCCCTGTGCATATAGACTTCTCAATTAGAATACTGTGAGATAATTTCATGTAATAAATCTAATGAGCAAATTAATATTAATTGGTCCAAATTTAATAACAATTAATTTGATCTAAATTAGAGTAAGATGAGCCCACAGACATGAAAATTATTATTTGCATTGTTATTTTTAAAAATAATCCTCTTCAAAAAAAAAAAATTTAAATCAGATCAAGGGAAAAAAATAATTAAACCCTAATTCCTGTTAAACAACTGTCCATTTTTATAATTATGCTGCTGCCATCTGGCTCTCTAGTTTAATTTAAGGATTTTTTAGTGTCAAGATATTCCACCAAGATTGTTTTTATTGTGAGGGGATACAAAATGCAATTAAGTAAGACAAAAGCACTGTATCAACAAACTATTCATGATTAGTCCATTGCATTTTTTGGGTGATCAATAAGTTCTTGGGGGCTTTGTATAAATGCTAACCATTATAACCACTACCATAAAAATATCAGCAAAAGAAAATTGTTTATTATTTTATTTTTATTAACAGAGGCCAGATAATACCATATCTAAAAGATGAAACTTTAGACCAATGCTCCATTGAATATTTACACACAACACATCAGTGTTCCATTAAACATTTATACAAAATAGACCAGTGCCTCATTCAAAATTTACACAAAAATTTATCTCTGAAGTTCAGTTCATAATTTAAAATATTTATAGTTATATTTAAATTATGATATAAAGAAGTTGAAAGGAATCAATACTAAAATATGACAGCAATATTTAACTACCGTGCTATAAGTGTTGAGTGAAGCTGTCTCCTCCAGGTAGTGAAAAATCTGACCAGCTCTGACCCGTTATGCCTGTCAAGCAGCTTTTGAATACTTTCATCAACCCAACATTTTTGGCTCAGGACATTCTGTCTCCACTGGGTAAAGCTCCACTTTTTCAACTGCATGTTATTTTCCTGCAGTAACAGATGTTTTTCTGGTTTAAATTATACTGTTAACACAATGTTCTGTAACTTCCATTTGAAAAAAAAAGGGGGGATAATGTTTCTCTTAGTATCAATAGGTTTACAGATGCATTCTATTTTAATAATAATAATTTATATTAGCAAATCTTCACCAGCGCTTAATAAAAACAAAAATTAAAATTGCCATTTAAGTGATGCTAACATTTAACAACCCTTATCCTCTAAGGTTTCCCCTGTTTTACCCTTGCTCCCCTGTTTTCCCCATGGTCCCCTGTTTTACCCTTGCTGACCAGCCCCACATCACTCCCATTTCCCACTATTTCCCAGGAAAACAATGCAAAAAATACAAATGAATTCTTCCTAAACTAAAAAGGAGCAAAGGTGCAGTGGATAATCTTTTTTAAGGCTGAGCAGTTAAAATTTTGTTTGGGCATTGCAAGTGTCCAAATTATTCCAAGTGCGGCCTAATCACTTGTAATTTTATTGTTCAGACAATGTATAGAGATTTTGTAAATTTAAAAAAAATTTTTTTGTATATCCCTATTTTAAATCTGTTATAACAAAAACTTAATGTTAGTTGATTGAATGGGCTTTAGTTTAATCTTTGTTTCCAAGATGTCTCTCACTATTTGAAATGTTCTTTTATTAACTGGCATGAAACTGACCCGTTCCTCTTCCATCCTCACTCTGTGTGTATATAAACTGCTGGCTCGATTCTTCCAAGTAAAGAACATTGTGTTTAGGAGATGATTATTCCTGAAATCTCTGCTGGCCCTCTTTCTCATGATTACAAACTTCCAACCTTCCAAAAGGGCCAAGAGTAATCCTTGTGAGATTCTGTTTCCGATTTCTTTGGCAATTTGGCAAACACTGAGCTGACGTCTGGGAATTAAGGGAATAAACCACATTCAAATAAAATAAATTTTGTATTCTTAGATTTCAACTTCAATATTTAATTTAAAAAATCTGAATTTTTCATTCATATAATATATTAATTTATAAATACTCATTAAAATAACAGGTGGGGTCACACATAACTTGCAAAATGTTAACATTTGCATTATTCAAGACATAATTTAAATGAGTAAACAACTGATGATGATATTAATGTAACACTCAATGGAAATTTTTTATATTGCCTAGTAGGAACACCTTAATGGAGCCACTGCATCAAAGATCACAAGAGATCATAATCGAGGTGAAATTATTTAATTTTTAATTTTCTAAACAATTATACCAGTGCATCAGATTAATTTTAATGCTTAGTAATTGAAGTAGGCTGATTTTAAAAAATAGCTTACTTCCAGGAAACAAATATTTTCTGTAGAATTTTCTGTTGAAAAGCTGCTTTGTTCTGTTTACATTTCTTTTTGTGCATAACAAAACTTTTCCAGGATGCAAAAACTCTGTGGAAATATTTCATAATAATATTCAATAACAAACAAAATTTACGTAGAAAAATTCTTTTAGGTAAATTCATCGATAATATAAGAAAATAATTATAAATATCAATGTTCTCTTAACAATTAAACTGATGTAGTTTATTTTTTTAAATTTCTTATGAAGCTCAAACAAATTACATAACTTAAATAATCATTTTTATCCAAATGAGACTGTCAAAATTTAAAGAAAAAAAGTTTAAACAACAAATGTATCTATAAAAATTTATAAACTAATAATATTTAAAGTGTTTTAAAAAAATCGTTTATCTGTGTTAACTTCATATTTAGATAGTTGAATAATTGACATATCTAAAACTGAGGGATTGATTTCATGCACCAGTCAAAACAGTTTGGTTTCCAAACAAAATTGTTGAAATGTAGACTTACTCTGTCAAGCTTTCCATTTCTCTTCTTTGCACAATGGGTTTGATTTTGAGGCGTCTCTTGGTCTCCATCAGCCAATACACAAATTTTCTTCTGAGATCCTGCTGTTCCAGGCTTTTCCTCTTCTCTTCTGCCTTCTCATTTTCTTTGTGCTGCTTTAAGAGCGAGCTCAGCCACACACTAAAATAAACTGAAATAAATTTAATGTTGATTAAATTTTTTTATTTTTTTATTTTTTTTACAGAACTTTCTAATTATAGTTGTAAACCTTGAACATACTTCCAAAATTTAAAAGAAACATTTAATTTGTAGTAGTTCTGATTGATGCTGCCAGTGTTTATATAATATATATATATATTATTTAACTTTTTTTTTTTTGCCTGCAAAAAAATGGGAATTTAATATTTGATTGATTCATTTAAAGAATATATATCACTACAATGAATGTTGTACTAGTTGGAAATTTCCCTGCAAGATATACAATAATCTGGGCCAGCTCTTAGGCAATTAATTAATGGTTATAGTATTTAATATTACCAGGCTCTTTTTAATTTTATATGACATGACATGATAAGTTGTGAGTCTGTGGGGGGCCATGGTTATGTTAAACACGTACTTAAAATTGCATTTTTAAAAAGATATTTAAATGTAAGATTTATGTAGTGGATGAGATTTTAAAATACGCTGGCCTACATACACCAATGTCCAACCTCTTTTATTAATTTCATACGCCATTGTTTCTGAATTCACGACTAAAAACAATTACAATATAAACAGGAAGTGCTCGCATTTTATGATCATAAACTGTGAGTAAAGCAATGCAATTTAAATCATACTGATTCAATTTTAATACAAAGTAGGTCTACATCTGGTGTTGTCCACAGTTGCTTTCAACCTAAGTTAAGGGTGTAGGATACCCCCCTGCCGGGTTTTGAATCTTTACAGGTAACAGTAACAAAGTAAATATGGAAAATGAAAACAAAAATTCTCATTCAAAAATTATTATGGTTTCGCTTGTATTGAATCCTGAAACAAAAGCTTAGACAAACCCATTTTTTATCTCAAATTCGGACTTATACCAATGGGAGCTTTAAATTTTTAGAATATATACTAAAAAAAATAATTATGGGCTACTAAATTTAGTTTTTGAAATATTTCTGGATTTGAGAATTGGGTTTGCTGAAAAATGTAAAGAATCATTGATATTTTAAGATTTTTAGTCCCCAATGACAATGTCTTTTGAGATTTTTAGTCACCAGTTACGTCAAACACTTTTTTAACAATAGTTTTCTTTTACTTGTGATAATGTTTACAGTGAACAGAGTGAACACTCGAATTAAATACCATGCAGAATTGAACTAGGTCGGTGTGGTAAAAAATGGGGAGCGGAGTTTCGCTTTCACCACAGGGTGGGTGGGGAATGACGCCCCTGGGAGTTAGTACTATTACCTCTGCACAATCGATGCTCTCTTTGTGGCTGAGTGTTTTCAAAAAGTCTGGCCAAAGACCTCTTGTGGCAAATTTCTCTCCATCTTGCTGCAAAATTCCTGTATATATATTAAAGAAAACATTTTATAGACTCTATTCACAAAATCCACACAAGTCTTTCTTCTTAACTTTCGTATTAATTTTGCACGGATTGATCAGTAGATAAAAGTCTGATTTCTCAGCCTTTTCCCTTGATTTATCTGTGTATTTGCCTTTGTATTTCAAATAATGATACCCATAAGTTATATTTATATGAATTTAGTCAGTGCCGTAGCTAGGGTTAGTGCCACCAGAGGCAGAGGCGTAGCGAGGAGGGCGGGTGCAGGGGGACAGATGTCCCCGGGCGCCAGCTAGTTAGGGGCGCCAAAATGTGCTTTGATATTATTTTATTGATGAAAATAATGGGTTTGAGAGTTGAAAAAAAAAGAAAAAGGGGCGCTTTAAAATGGATCTTGTCCCCGGGCGCGAATCTTGTCCCCGGGCGCCAAACACCCTCGCTACGCCTCAAGAGTTTTTTGCCGCCCCCCCCCCCAACTCCAACCAACCAAATAATTTCCATTAACCAAGATTGTTCTCATAATACGGACTTTAAAATTGAAAAACAAAATAATGTTGCAATGATAAACCAATGGCCATTGCCCCATAATTTTATTTTTTTTTAAATTACGCGTTTACAGTATTTTTAATTCAACGGCTGGTTTTGAGTTAGCGGTGTTAGGCCAACGATGTGTTCCACGGGATATTGGTCACGGAGGTTTCCCCTAGGTCAGCGTTTCTCAACCTGTGGGTTGCGACCCTTTTGGGGGGTCGAACGACCCTTTCACAAGGGTCGCCTAAGACCATCGGATAAAAAAACAACAACATATTCTCTACAGTTATGAAGTATCCCCTCCCCATTTCCTAAAAGATCATTCCAAATGCAATTTAAGTTTTAAGCAGTAGTCTTTTGTTACCTAAGTTTCAACATGGAATGTATGTAACCAAGCAAACCAAGCCTTGGGGTTCTTAAGGCGAAATCTAAAGATTGGCAACTCCTGTGTGAAAGAAAGAGCATATAAAGCCTTTATCCGTCCGATTTTAGATTATGCATCTTCAGTCTGGGACCCATTTACCCAGAAGAGCATTGACAGGTTGGAGGCGGTCCAGCGACGAGCAGCACGTTTTGTCCTAAACCGCTACAGGAATACCTCTAGTGTTGGTAGCATGCTAGAAACACTAGGCTGGTCACCATTGGAGAAACGACGACGACAATCCAGGCTCTCCATGATGTACAAGATAAATAATGCCGACCAGGTGACAAGGTCATAATTTGTCTTTGAGCAGGGAGTCCCCCATAGACAGCGACGAGGCCATGACAGGCAATTCAGGCTCATACCAGCAAGAAGCCAGTATAGGAGCTGCTCATTCCTGCCTGAGACAATCAGGGACTGGAACCATCTTTCAAAAGGAACAGTTGAGGCGACAGCACTAGACACATTTGTGTCTATTGCCTCAAGCCTTCAAACCCCTAGTGCATAATTTACTCATCACCACCAGTAACAGAAACATTGCAAATCCCATCTACATGCATAGGAGCCAAAATGATCAATAAATTGATCGTGGGCCCTTAAGATATAGAAGAAGACATACGGGTATTTTCAACTACTCAAAATACATCAAATTTGGAGGGCGTCTTTTTTTTTTTTTAAGGGTATTGGGTCTTGGGGTTTCTTTTTTCCTTTCTTTTGAAACGTGTAAGTTGAATTTTAATACAAATTAATGGAAAATTTCATTTCAATATACTTCATATATATTAACCTATCGTTTATGACGCGAGTAATGCTCAGTGTCATTGTTGGGATTCCCCAATGTGACGTCACTGCTCTTAGGGTGAGAAAACTCTTGGCAAAACTCATACAGTTAATTCAAAATTTACCCCATTCAACTTACCTCGCACAATTTTCTGATATGATCCTCTTGACATTCTCTGCTTCCTGTCTACGCAGGAATGAACTCTTCCATTTGTAGAAACAGGACAATAACGTTCTGTGCTGAGTAGCTTTTAAATGGTTGTTTGCAGTTTTTCTGTTGTAGGGAAAATAATTAAATAACAAATTTGCCTGCTTTTAAAAGATGTGGGCCAATATTAATTCTGAATAAAAATCAACTCTTTCTGATTAAAAAAAAAAGTAATTAAAAATAGGAACAGCAAAAGGACACCCGTCCAAAGGATAATATTAATATTATATGCTAGTATTGCTAGTCTAGAAAATCAGTTTTTGTTGTCTTTCTGGTAACACCGCCGTGCACATGTGTCCTACTGATAACTACTTGCACTGTATTCACACGCTTAGCGAATGATAACTCTGTATGTTTTTTTTCACTCTGGGTTAAGTATCACGTGATATCTGTCATCACAAACAGGTACAAGGAGTTTTAACTAATACTAAGAGAGGTCTGAGACATGATCAATAATCCCATTGGTTTTTTTAAATAAAGCTATACCATCGTTTTTTCTTAAAGCAAACATAATAATAACAATGGAAGAAACAACAATAAAAGAAAACATGAATGCTTAAAATAGTGCCGATCAACCATTTTTATCAAGACATTTTTTTTTCTATTATCTCCTTGCAGGTAAATAAATAATACACTTCTCTTTCTTTAAAGACAACAACAATCGAATGGAATGAATACGTCATTCAAAGAGTTATCTTACTTTAAGAGCACACGTGATACGGTGTACGTCCTCCAAGCTTTCAGCGTTTGTCTCAGATGACAGCTCTCAATGAGTGACACTGCCAGTGTTTGCCTCTGCTGCACAATGACCACGTTCCGCCGCCACGTCAGCAGAGCCCGGTGCAACTTCTTGCGGAGCAGAGCGTGCTCAATGTCCTGCCTGTGAGTCAAGTTGTGCCTCCAGATGTGCAGCCAGGTCGTGAACGATTTCCTTTAATTAAATATACCAAACACTGAAGTGAAGAGATATCGTGACGATACGAAACTAACGCCTTATTATGATATTAGTATACAATATGTGTAGCTAATGAGATCCACGAGTAGATTCATGAACCAGATTTGTGATGTAGGTGGCCAAAATGTTTTGATCAAGTTTGCATTAAATGCATCCTCTTAAGAGTAATGACATGGCAGGATTGCATTTACCATTTAAACTATGAAGCTGAGTTTTAAAAAAAGCAATACTTAAAAAATAAATAGAAATAAAACAAGTATTCATCCAGTCCAGTAATTTTTAAGAAAGTTCATAAGAAAAAACATCTTTAAAATATTGCATGCGTACTTGCGAAAGAAATAGCAAAACTTTCTGTTCAGTAATGTCACTCAGACCAGCTCAAAATATATATAGTATTGTTTATTGATAATTTTATTTTAAACCGCTTTAGTCTTAGGCTGCAATACTTTTAAAAAGTTATATATATGATAAAACCATCCCAGGTTTGTAGAGAATATTCCTACTCCTACCCAAGTGATCTAGGAACACCTAGGCTTGGTTTGTACCACTAGTGAATGTCATTAGTACTGTCTCTCACTGAGTATATCTCTTAACTAGTTTTACACAGCCCTCCAGAGAAGAGCAAATCAAATTACAAAACTGTGCTTTGCAAAGGTTAAACTCTATATCTTACCTGCAAATTTTGAAATTGGCCTTCCTTTCAGCTGTCCTGAGCTTGATTTGCTCACACCAATGGAACAATGTCTGCTGCATTTTCTTTCTCTCCCAGTGTCGTAAACTAGATAACTCATCTGCCGTTCTTTCGTCTTTAAAAATTTGGCTAACTGATTTCCACTCATGGAAAAATTCTTTAAGTGTATGATATCTAAAAATAGAAAACAAATTACGACGTATTACAGACAATTTCAACAGAAGTATTAGTTATTAGGGTTAGAAGATTGAGTTGCTTTCTGTTAAATGCAAGTTGTAAGAGCAAGCATTTCCATTTCAGATATGCGTGTTATGCCGTTGTGTTTGGACAAAATATTTACCTAAAATGTGATTTTGCCTTTTGGGACTTGCTGAAAACGACCTTCATGGTTTGAAAAGTTATTCTTACCAATGTGGTCTGGTAGCGAGTCCTAGGGTAAAAAAAACAACTTGATTTGAATAGTAGTTACATCAATTAGATATTGAATGGATTGTGATAAGTGCTAGGCATATGGAGGTTAAAACCCTAATCTCAACACCAGTACCTCCACGTGGTGGTCATCGGACAGCCATTTTGCACAAGCCCCCCCCCCCCGGTCACCGGTCACCGGTCCCAAGAAGGTTAAAAAATGTAAATCTTGAAAAGTAAAAAAACAAAGAAAAGAATAAAAAAATAATAAAATTGGGTAAATGGTGCTGGAGGTTAAAACCCTAATCTCAACACCAGTACCTCCCCGTGGTGGTCATCGGACAGCCATTTTGCACAAGCCCCCCCCCCGGTCACCGGTCACCGGTCCCAAGAAGGTTAAAAAATGTAAATTTTGAAAAGTAAAAAAACAAAGAAAAGAATACAAAAATAATACAATTGGGTCAATGGTGCCTGCTGGAATGAGGTTTTCAATAAAACTTTTATCTGTAAAGGGTTATAAATAATTTTAGACTACCGGAGAGTGCATTGCTGTGATCCAGGAAGTGTAATTCTTAAGAGGTTTCCACTTAAATTATTTTTTTTAACAATAAACTGATGACTATTCAGTTTTTAAACTTAAGTGTTTTTAAAAATATAACACAGAAAATAAAACATAGTTACAGCGCCGTTGCTTGTGTTTCCTTTTTGGCCTTGCATTCCTTCACGTAGCTCTTCCAATTGTCTATCACATGTTTCAGCAATGTTTTTCTGAAGGTCGTGATTGTTTGTAACCGTAAATAAAGAATAAAAATGAAAAAAAAAAAGAAAAAAAAAGAAATAATATACATTTAATAACGTATTTGTATGTTACATTAAAAAAACTGCTCATGAATGATGAAAAGTGTCAGAAATAAGATTTAATAATAAATAGGATTGCTAAAACAAATAAATAAACTAGGTGTATTTAAAAAGCTTGTACTTTGAAATGTAAGCAATATGAGTGCCTCTCACCCCCACCCACCCACCCCCCCCTCCCGGTCAAAAACAAACAAACAAACTTAAAAAAAAAACAAAAACAAAAAACAGAAGCGAAAACTCAAAATAGCTCAACTATTCTATTGCACAGATATTAAGCCAAGCCTGCAAAGAAATAAATTCACTACCTGAAGTAGTGGAAAGCCAGGTTGCGTTTCCGCTGCTTATTGTAGAGCTTCTTCCAGCGTCTTGTGACATCCACTAACACGTTCCTTTCTGTGACCTCTCGCATGTGTCGTATTCTGATCGAACAAAACATTTTAAATAGTTTATTATGCGTGGATATCATGTAGCCAGCCTATTTAATATGTTTAAGAAACTTTACTTAAAAAAAAAATCCAGTGAATAACAAGGTTGTAAATAATAGGAACGTTCTCAATTAGTTTTAGAGTTAGAGTTGTTCGCAGTAAATAAAAGAACGGTATGCTCTAAAGACTGCCTTTTTAAAAAATTATCTTTTAAAAATTTATCTAATTTTTTTAGTTGTCTGGTTTAAGTTAGAAGGTCTTTTAGAGAGGTCTTTTTACCTTAATTTTATATTTTTTTGTCATTTTTGTTGAAGTAACGAGGTAATTTTTTCCTCCTGGCCATTCAGCCGAATTTTTTCCACTGACACACTCGCATTCTAGTGAGTTTCAAATGTGAACTTACTTATGTGTTTCCGAAACAAACTGTTTCCATCTCTTCACTGCGTTCTCCAGCCTCTCTCTTCTCCGTGTCTCTGATTTTGTTCGCCACTACAAGAAAATAAAAGTTTATTGTTGAGTTTTATCTTTAACTGGGGGATCAAAACGAAGGACATTCTAAAAGTATTTATATCATACAATAAATAATATAGCTGCTCAAGTAGGCATTGAGACGAAAAGTTAATGTGTTTTTTTGGGGGTGTCAAAAAACTTTGCAGAAGAGCAATTTTCTCTCTAAGCATAATTTGTATGTTTTGTTTCTTTAAAAAACTTAAATAATTTCTCATTTTTAATTATAATTTTTCTTTTTTTAAAGACCAAAGGTGAAAAGGTCTCTTCACTTCTGAATCAACTTTTAAGAAATGTGTGAGATTTTCAATCAGCTGAATACTTTAAAGAAGGTTCCTTTGAGCATTATGGAGTGAAGTTTCGCTTGCAGCTTCTCTGTCCGATGACGTGACTGCCTGACTGACCACTGGAGAGCTTTGAAGCCCTTGGTCAACATATGGGCTCGAAACATGGCAGTGGCTCTTCGCATTTTCATGTTGTACGCTGACCTCTGTTGCCAGCAGAGGAAGTGACGTAAGAGAAGTCTGCTGATGCGGAACGTCACGGACCTGATGGTTAGAAGATAAATTAGTCTTTCCTATGAACATTACGATAGAAGGTAATTATTTCTTTTACACAATCTGGCTCATTCAATTTTACAAAAAGGTGAACCCTCCTATTATTAAGTGTTGAAATTGTTATCGTAAAGTACATTAGCGTATCATGTTTGGTATCCTTGAACTCACTAGACATAAAGTATCGTTATTTTAACCCGCTGAATTTTTCGATCAAGTTCTTGTACCATGTATAAACTGGTTGACTAATTATCTCATCCACTGCCTAAGTAAAAATACGTTTTAAAATTGGTTATAAAATGGACTTCTATTTCTTTTCAAAACTAATTAATTACAGTAAATGTTGAGCTTAAAACATGAACGTTTGACTCATTTTTATAGTATAAAAAGTTCACGAAGAAATAACATAAAATTCAACGGAGCCTATATTCTTATAATCAACCCCCCCCCCCCCCATATCTCGCCATTGAAAGGCCACCTCTCCACCCCCCCCTTGGGGCTGCCGGCGCGCCCCCCCCCCTGGCTGGTCAACCCAGTGAATCAAAGCAGTACAACACGTACTTTGTGGCCAGGGCCTTCTTCTTAAGCCGGTGTTCACGTGACGACACGACGTGCAGATGCCAGGCTTTGAAATACTGGACCTGGAGGTATTCAAGAAATAGTTTTGCTGCTGATCGATTCACAAGATAATATTAGAAAAAAAACAACAACAACAGGTATGATTCATTTAGGATCGGAAATAATTCGAAGGGCGTTATCAAATTTGGAGTGGAATTATGGAACATTGAATATCTACTTAAGGACATGAATATCTACTTAAGGAGATGAATATCTACTTAAGGAGATGAATATCTACTTAAGGAGATGAATATCTACTTAAGGAGATGAATATCTACTTAAGGAGATGAATATCTACTTAGGAGATGAATATCTACTTAAAGAGATGCCCTTTTCCAACAAAAAATATCTCAACAAAAAGGTCAGAAGCCGTTAAAACTAGGGCTGAGCCAGATTCATTTTTTTAAAACATCCAGTCCGGGTATTTTGTGACAATTCCCGGCGGGTCCGAGTCCGGGTGTTACAGGAAAAAAAAAATTATATTAATAGTTATATCTTCATTCACTTTAATGTGTTCAACCCAGTGGGGAGAAGTGAAAAGTGCCTGTACGAAGGCATCAAAGTTGAATGATTATAACACTTATAGTTTAATAGTAGTATAATAGCGGTTCTCAACTTTATTTTAGTTCCATGACCCCTTTATTACATTTGCCAAGTTGCGTCGACCATCATCCAGAATTATACCTACAAGTTGATAAACATGTTTTGAGAAGGGAGGTGGGTTGAAGGGCACAGATTTTATGTAGATAAAAAGGTGTTGGTAGTTAAGTTTTGATCAGGGTTAGAGGGAAGGAGAGAAAATGGCTAAGAAGGGTGGAGGGTTCTGAAGAGGTTTTAATTAATTTTTTTTTATTTGGGGTGGGGGGGGGGGGTGGTGGGGACGCTCTGTAAACCGATCACCAGAAAGTTGTTTTTAAATTCACACGCCTGGTTACATCTTTGAGTGGGGGCGGCCAAAATTTGGAGGGTTCTGAAGAGGTTTTAATTAATTTTTTTTTATTTGGGGGGGGGGGGGTTGGGGGGGACGCTCTGTAAACCGATCACCAGAAAGTTGTTTTTAAATTCACACGCCTGGTTACATCTTTGAGTGGGAGCTGCCAAAATTTAAGTTTAAGGAGATCGATTGAAACACATGGTAAAAAATGATGTCAGGATGTGACATGAAATATGAACTGTACATGGGAAGTGGTCACATGGTCACAAGCAGAGATACGCATCTTGCTAAGAATAATAATTACACAAAATTCACAGCAAGTGCACGATCATTTTCAGAGCTTTGCAGTATCATTCAGCTTTTATTGCGTTTCTCATCAGTTTTCTATAATATATTTAATTCAGGTTTAAAAAAAATAAAAAAAAATAATAATAATTCTATAAATACCATTTTTATTTTTTCATCATTGGTTGGAACACTTATAGAAGCATAGACTACATTAATATTGGTGACCTATCCCGTGGCGAATTGATACAATTGCCCAAAAAAAAAACGATACTCGAAATGGAGGTAGATCAACACAAATAACATTTTAAAAAAACGATACTCGAAATGGAGGAAAATCAACACAAATAACATTTAAAAAAACGATACTAGAAATAAAAATAATATGCTAGAAAAAGTGGTGAATTCCAGTAACATGAAGCTGACCTTGACCATTATGATCTGCCTGGTGGCAGGGTCAGCCTTGTAAAGCATCTGCAAAAGTCTGACCATCGTCGGGTTGTCCACGTGATTCAGTAAACTCTCCGCCGGGCTGGCCCTATTAGAAAAGAACACAATAAATGCAAGAAACAAAAAAATAGACACTATAATAGATATCATGGACCGACGAGATTCGGGGGGACGTGCACATTCAAGACTGTAGCTCGACAATAGCACATTACGGTCTGGTGAATAGCGCCTCGCAATATGATCTTAAGGTAATAGTTTGCGTATTCCAAAAGTGATGACGCCTCACTTAGGGGAGCCAAAAACATTTAAACGTTTACATACTTACAAAACAAAACATAAAAGATAATTGTTATTTCCTGTTTATAAATTATGTAATATAATAACCATTGACAATGTAGAATGTTTGGGTATTTTTGTGTTCTGACTGATGAACAAATTAAATATTAGTAGGGAGTGACTTTTGTCTAATCTCCTGGCGCACATTTAAAAAAAAAAAAAGTATAATTAAGAATATGTATGTGCTATTGTATTTCAGAAGTCAGTGAGAGTGTACATGCGTTACCGCACTTTAATTATTGTCGTTTGACCAATCGAAGGCGAGCGAACAGCACAACAGCAGAAGTAGGTGATTGCTAATGATAATATTAAAAATGTTCAAATCGCCCACACGGGATTTACTAAGTTACTCAAGAAATTTAGACATTCAGATACACTCAGCCCACCGACCCAACCCACACCTCTTTGTCGTTTGTTACGTTTTATTCTCATTTATTCCTATCGTCCCACATAGGTCTTTTAGTAATTTATGGTTTTGCTTCTAAGTAACTCTCTTAGACATTTTTTTTGTGTGTATTCTCCCTTAAGTTATTAGTCATTAATTTGTTCGTTTCTCAAGCAAGTCTTAAAAACGTAAATACCTTGCTTGGTAGTATTTTTTTTAAATTAACGCCTGCATACACATGATTGCATATTCATTGACTCTTAGTCAAGTCTCACATTCATTCACTTCTGCTGTTGCGCTGTTCGCTTGCCTTCGATTGGTCCAACGATAATAATTAAAGGGCGGTTACTCATGTTCACTCTCATTGACTTCTGAAAGACACACCAATCGATATTGTACAATCGGTAGCATACGTTCAGTTGACAGGCCTCGGGCTAGAGATATGCGTATAGAATGGCCTCCGATGCAGTCAATTCAGAGAACTCATATCTATCAAGTTATTATTTATCGATTATCCCCTACAGACGATATCTAAATAGTTTCTACATAATACTTTCGTGTAAGTGGTTCTCAAAACTAATCGAAGCAGACCACATGAGCGTTTTAATTTTTTTTTTAAAAATAATCAGTATGTATTATATAAAGATACAGTTCTGACAATTGGTTGAGAGCATTTCACATTTGAGTTTATATCTCGTTGATTTTCGTAAACTATCGATTTCTTCTGATCTTAGTTTTCATTAGGGACTTGTGCCCATTCTCATTCTTTTATTTGCTTTCATTTTTAGATATAGGTAGGATATACATAAATATATTATGTACATTTAATCTATGATTATATTGATGTTATTTCGTTGTTATCTGATGAAGGCATTCCCCGAGAAGTTTGAATTTGTATTTTTGTACAATCATAATTAAAGCTCAAAATATATTGTTTTATTTACATACTTTTTTTGCGTGTGTCTCATTAATCTATGAAAAGGGACATAAGGGGGGGCATGATGGTGGGGTATATAGAGGAATATGATGGAGAAACATAATAGAGCGACATAATGGAGAGAAATAATGGAAGTATATAATAAAGGGACATAAACGGATGGACATATTGAAGGGATATAATGTAGGGACATTATGGTGGAACATAATGGAGGAACATTCGGTCAGAATGCAGGCAAAATTCACATGCTACTAATATTTCTACCTGTGCGTTCATAATTTAAGGACAAAATGGATGGACATGATTGTGAACAGTGTCGGGGTGAACACAATGATTTAATTTGATGACAGAGTTTCACCATGACATTATTATAACAAACATTTATGAAAGTCTGTCAGGGTCTTATTAGAAAAGTTTTAAAATTACGAATTTCCATATCTACAGCCTTTACTAACAAAATGTAAAGTTTCGAAAGTGTTAAAAAAAAAAATTAAATTCGTTACGAGTTGCATTTTTAAATAGCTTTCACACACTTGCCGATGAGTCTCATTATACTGTGTGCACATTGTTATTGTTTTAATATTATTGCCGCTGTTGATGCCCGAAACACCGCGAGAGAAACAATGACTGTTTCATTTCGTTAACATGAATGCACCAATTGTTCTCTTTTAAATAAAAACACAAAAGGAACCTGTACGTTTGAAAATTTAATATTTGCGTCCACCATCTGACTATAAATATCATGCAGAAACCATCAAACAAAACCATAAACTATTTCCATGTTCATCATTTTTTTTTTCATGGGGCCGTCCATTCTATTTATCGTAACAAACAATATATCTCCCATCACGTTTAACACCAAGAACGTGACAATACCATGTAATCCTAATGTTTAGATTCGACTTTAAAAAATATATATACAATGAGGTTGATAAGCGAAGGAGAGTATACCTGGCGCTAACAGGTCAAGGTCAAGCAAGGACGATGGTCAATTCGAGTGTCCTAAAGCTTTAAATTGGGAAGTTTTTATTTTTTTAAATGTTTTTCACAGTTTGATGGTGAGTTTTTTTTTTTTCTGTATAAAAGTGTCAGCAAACTAGATACGCCCATGATGTATGATGTGACTTACCTCCCAATGGGAGTGATCATATTTCTATGAAGCACGACATGGCCATTCAGGTAGGCCATCTCACGGGATGGACTGGGTGGAAGCGGGGACTCCCTCAGCGAACCGGAAGACATCTTCTTGAGGATACGGCTTACAATATCCGCGTCACCGCATCGTGCAATCGTCCGTGCACCCACTGACCCCGGCCTTGGCGATGGGGACGTTTCAAGGTCATCTTCATCGGCATCTTCGTCCAAGGCCCTGGCTTCTTTGACAGACTGCCTGTTTGTATAATCTGGAGTCTGCATCTTCCGAGGTGTTGCTTTCATACCATGGCCGGGAAGGTCTGAAAACTGATCGACGTTCGCCTCGCGTCCGTCCGTAACCAACTGCTTTGAATTTGTGTGGCCCTGTGTGGCCGGTCTCTTAACAGCGTGTCCGCTCTTTGTGAAAGTTATCCTTTTGTCATACTTCCGGCCCCCATCCATGTGCACCCGGTTGACCTCTTTCAGCGGCGTGCTCGTTATAAACGAAGGCGCCGGTTTATTGACCTTGAAATTTGACCCTGACCCCACCTCGTCGTCGTCTGCACTGCTGTCACAGTTGGTGATGGTGCTGGCGTCGCTCAGGTCACCCAGGTCATCGCCCTCGTCTGCACACAGCCTGCTCAGCTCAACGCTTCTCACGTAGTGAGCCACGTTTTCTTTACTGGCCAGTCTTTCGTCGACTTCCTTATGAAGGGTCTCAACCTGCCTTAACAGCGGGGATTGTCTGGGGCCATCGACATGAAACTTTTCAAGTCTCAATTCTCTTTTGCCTTTTAAATGAGTTTTACTTCTTCCCTGTATCGGTTTTAAGTTCTGCCAATTGATCGCACTTTGAGGGCGGCTCGAATCTTTGATACTGTTCCTCTGAGACGGTGGTAAAGAATCTCGCAGATTGTCTTTTGAACGTTGCACAAAGTCAATGGCACTATGGCTTCTTCGAATAAGATCCTCGCCAGCTTTTTCCCGTCGCTGTTTTTTTAATTGATCAGATAATTCTTTAACAAACGTTTTCCGTACAGATGTGGTCCCTCTATTTGACATTTCTTGATTTGAAGGGCTGTCTTGAAGATATTTGTTTAGTATTTTTCTTGGACTATCCTCTTCAGGTGTCGAGCATTTGGCTTCCAGAGTACGGGTGTCACGCACTGGTTGGTTCCTTGTAATGACCTTGATGACATTTTTGTTTTCGTTGGTCGACCTTGGCTTTACATCTAACCCGTACCGTGGTTTAACATGTTTTAGATGGATTGAATGTTTCCCGTCATTGCTCGACTGAAATTGTGAATAAATTTCACTTTCGTCTGAGCTGCTGCGCTCTCCGCCTGTTGAATGTTCAGTAGATGAATTTCTTAAATGAGACGAAAGCCTCGGCACTGAATTAACCCTTTCCTGATTTCTGTGAATGAATTGGATCATTTTCCGCAACTCCTGCTTCCGCTTGACTGTACTGTAAAACTCATCCGCGGTAACCTGCGCGTTGTTCGCCCAATTGCCTGTTTCCCTCTGACGGGCAACAGCGCTTGGTTTCGTTCCGCTGGAAGAACTACTTTTAGCGTCACGCACAAAGATGTCCTCGTCATTTCCGAAGCCGGGGACATTTGTTTGTTTTGTGGACACGGAGCTGCTCTGTTTGGAGCAGGTGTCGAAGTCACGGTCCGATGACTCCGATCGGGTGCTATGAACCGACCGATGTCTGCCAGCGTCTGCCTGGACCTGAGCGCCCAGTGCAGACTTCTGGAATGGTTGATTGTTAAATTTTTGTATTGCCTCACGAGCAGGTGACCCGTCTTTTCCCGACTTATTGGATTGCGTTCTTGTAACTATGTTGAAGGTGGCGTTATTCAAATCACTCGTGCTTCTTGTTCTACTCCCTGAACCCAGCACTGAAGACCTTTCTGATCCCAGGTCGCTGTTCAGCTTACTCGAAAGACTGGATAAACTAGCACCGAGGTAGTTTAAGTGCGCCCGTAACGACGCCCCTGGAAGAGGCACGTCCTCTCCACTTCGCTCGGAAAGCAGATTCCCTTGTTTGTGCATCCTTCCGGAAGTTGGCGTGGCAGACTGCGACCTCTCTGGAAGAACTCGAACTTCCTGTTCACCTGCAGCCGATGACGGAACAACTGAGTTTGGTCTCATGGGACCCTTGAGAGAAAAGCCCCCGTTGATTTCAAATTGCTCCGTATAAGAGTTTGATGACGAAGACTGCGTTACAGGAGGTGAATATTTCTTATCCGGATAACTGTTCAACTTATCATTTCCCTTTTGCTCTAATTTTGTCTCTAAAATTTCACAATGCTGTTTAACAAAATCCATTGGTATTTTACTTGAATGAGATAGGTTCAAAGCTGTTGAGTTTTTATCACCAAGAGGCCCATAAGGTCCACGTGAGTATTCACGTGCATGTGTGCCGCTTATGATGTGGCCAATCGCATTAGCAGGGTCTGAAGTTAATCTCAAACCATCAGAGTTATTTATGGGTTGGCGTTTTATGACATGTTTGAGACTCTTACTCCCACTACTGGTTTGCTCTCGCTGGAAGCGATCAAGGGTTCTAAGCGTCTCAACTTCTGAATTTTCACTGAATGAATTTCCATTGACGTTGCCGGGACCAACCAGTGGTGAGGGCTTTCGTTGTACCTCTGCGTTATCTCCTATTGTCCTTCGGCGCCTATCTTCTTCGCACGTCAACTGAAGTTCATCGGCCTGAGATGACCTTAGGAGTGACATCCCCTTAGAATGTTTGCCGAGCATTCGTATGTCTGAGCTGTTGTTTATCACCCTCATCTCGGCCAGGAGCGTCACGTGACTTGGATCTTCAGAATCTGCATCGTTGTTCACCGTAGTTGTATATACTCGGGAGACTTCCTCTCTTGAACTGTTTCTATGACCATACCACTCCCTCTCATCCGAATCGCGGGGTGCCGTATTAGTCAGTCTCAATGAGCCATTCTCGTCGACACATGTGTTCCTCTGCTCATCTAACGAGCCCTCCCCAATGACGTCACTAACTGGCTCGCTGTAATTATATCTGCGAGATCTGGCCGTGAACTTGACGTGATTTCCCCCCTCCTGAACGTCACCCAAACCCTTACCCCTCTGAAGCTGTTCGTTGGAGACATCAGTGATGTGGTTTCTGACACCACTGTTGTGTATCCTGAAGACATCAGTGATGTGGTTTCTGATACCACTGTTGTGTATCCCGTGTTTTGTTTTGAATAACGCTCTAAACGCTTTGACCTTCTCCGAAAAATCCAACTCGTCAGATTTTTCAGCCTGGACGTACCCGCGAGACTCGATCAATTTCTTTTCCCTCGCGACATGGTCAAGAGAAGAGACGCACTGCCTGTGGTAGATGTCCTGACCTGAAAGCAGCTGACGTTTCAAATCTTGCTGGCTGGCTTTAATGAAGGAGACCCTGACTTTTTTGGATCCTTCGGTCGAGTCAAAGTAATCACCGAAGCCGGGTGTCGACTTAGGTCGGCCTGGCACAGAATGCTGGAAAGGTTGACCCGAGTGAACGCTTTTCCGAGAAGACTCGATCTGTGCTTTAAGAGGTCCTGGATTTCTACTGAAAGCTTTCCGCTGTTGAAAACTAACCGATTTATGGTCCGCGTGGGCATCGTCAGCCGGTTCCCAAAACGCCTTCAGCTTCAAGATTTCTTTTGATGCAGATTTCACCTGGTTACCATGGTTATTCTCCATTTAAAAAAAAAAACCCAATAATATTGTACGCTTATCACCCGTGTTTTTAGCACGCTGTCATATTTTTTTTCTTTTAATGCTCCAAAGTAACAATGAACCAGCCTCACAGTATCTTTTTTCGGACTTTAATGTTAGTGTATCACCTGGGCGTACAACGTTCAAAGTAGGTTCGGACAATAATGCGTTCTTTTAAATTGCGTCATGTTCACCCGGTTCAAATCTGTGAACAGAGTCAATCTCAAGAATCAGCGTGTAACCTATGTGTCTTTGTTGGCCACACTAATCTCTCACGTTTCGTTTAGTTTCTAATGACCGAGCTGCTTCAAATTGTTTTCGCACGGACGTTGTCGGTAGGTCGAGAGGGTAAGCGCATTGTCTTGCCATCACAGCAGAGTACTCCATGTCTTTGCAGTCTGGAAAGGGAGGGGGAAAAAAAAAGCATATTCTTAATAACAGGTTTGAAGTTACATGTAATAATCTGAGATGTATGATTAATTTTCTTTTTATCACATAGAACATAAAAAAACGACTCTCATGAGGCTATTTATCACAGATATTAGCCAATCCATTAATTCTGATAATTATCACAGACATTAGCAAATCCATTAATCCTTATATTTATCACAGATATTAGCCAATCCATTAATCTTGATATTTATCACAGATATTAGCCAATCCATTAGTCCTGATATTTATCACAGACATTAGCCAATCCATTAATCCTGATATTTATCTCAGACATTGGCCAATCCATTAATCCTGATATTTATCACAGATATTAGCCAATCCATTAATCCTGATATTTATCACAGACATTAGCCAATCCATTAATCCTGATTTTTATCACAGATATTAGCTAATCCATTAATCCTGATATTTATCACAGACATTAGCCAATCCATTAATCCTGATATTTATCACAGACATTAGCCAATCCATTAATCCTGATTTTTATCACAGATATTAGCTAATCCATTAATCCTGATTTTTATCACAGATATTAGCCAATCCATTAATCCTGATTTTTATCACAGATATTAGCTAATCCATTAATCCTGATATTTATCACAGACATTAGCCAATCCATTAATCCTGATTACTGATAAGGGACATCGGTTTGTATCACTGATTTTAAATAATGCTTTGATTTTTTTTTTTTTTGTTCAATCTTGTATCTGAACGAGGCTCTGAAAAAAAGGTAGTTGCCAATTCAAAGAAATGCGTCTAAATGATTCTTCAGCAAGAATTAAAATATCGGTTTTTATTATACTTACTAGAAATAACCGACTCTCTAGTTAATTGTTACAAAAAAAAAAAAAAAAAGAGAATATTTTATTGGATTAATGAAATGACGCTATCTGAAGAATGTACATACTTTGAACAACAAGTTCGAGGATTGCTTAGGCTTAGGCTGAAAGGGGATCTCATAGCTATGTGAGATGGATTAAAAATGATATTATTTTTTTTACTTTGCTTAATGTAAAATTTAAAAAACAAGTTAGTAATGCCTTTCTTCTTTCAACAGCTAAGCAGTCACACAACAGCCAGGGAATCAAACAACAGCCAGGGAGTCACAACACAGCTAGGGGTCATACACAACTTGAGGCCATATACAATTGGGGCTCTAAGATACTAAACGTGGTAAAAACTGCTACTGGCGTGTCCAACCTATCAACCAACTAACTAACTATTAAATCTGACCTACTTTCTTGGTCTATAATAAAACTATTGAAGCATGACAGTAGTCGCAAATGAATGATCTTAACTGATAAAAGAAATGCTTAAAGTTGTTTGTTTTTAAAATATTAAATCTCCCGATCCAGCAACGGGTAATAATGTAAGTCTGAAGAAACTTATCATAGTATGACATCAATTCCAGTTTCTCTAGCGACTTCGACAATTCCCGGTTTAGTGACTTCGACAATTCCCGGTCTTGTGACTTCGACAATTCCCGGTCTAGTGACTTCGACAATTCCCGGTCTAGCGACTTCGACAATTCCCGGTCTAGCGACTTCGACAATTCCCGGTCTAGCGACTTCGACAATTCCCGGTCTAGTGACTTCGACAATTCCCGGTCTAGTGACTTCGACAATTCCCGGTCTAGTGACTTCGACAATTCCCGGTCTAGTGACTTCGACAATTCCCGGTCTAGTGACTTCGACAATTCCCGTTCTAGTGACTTCGACAATTCCCGGTTTATCGTAAACACAACTTAGAATCTCCGCTTATTTTAATCCCCCACTCTGCACCCACCACACACAACAAGAGACGGGATTTAGGGTACACCCCACCGATTCCATGACCTCCCATATAGCGTATAAGATAATATTGATTACCTATAGACTCGGTCGGAGGTCAGAAAATACTTTGGTCTTACAGTTCAGCCATTCTCAATCTCCCGTGGAGGACACACGGGTGTGTCGCAATTCTTTTCATGGTGTGTAATAAATTGGTGGGTACCTTGGCTGTAGTGTTGTAGTGTGCTGTTATGGCTGCAGTGTTGTAGTGTGTTATTATGGCTGCAGTGTTGCAGTATGGTATTATTGCTGCTGTGTTGTGGTGAGTTATTATGAATATTTTGTTGTAGTGTGTCATTATGACTACTGTGTTGTAGTGTGTCATTATAACTTCTCTGTTGTAATGTGTTATTATGGCTGTTGTGTTTTAGTGTAGTATTGTGGCTGATGTGTTGTAGTGCGTTATTATGGCTGTTGTGTTGTCATTGACCTGCTGGGACATCGTTGTTTCCTACCATTTTGTTTGCGTCGATCCAACCCCACACCACATACACACAACAAAGCGTGGTCTTTGTGTAAAAAGTAGATACTTTGAAGAAAAAAATCTCGAAAAAAATAAGAACATTTGCTAAATCTTTCAGTAGCATCTTTCTCTTATTAAAATTCTCTCTCACTCTCTCTCTCTCTCTCTCTCTCTCTCTCTACCTCTCTCTCTCTCTCTCTCTCTCTCTCTCTCTCTCTCTCTCTCTCTCTCTCTCTCTCTCTCTCTCTCTCTCTCTCTCTCTCTCTCTCTCTCTC